ATTGGGGAAGGGGAACAGCCAAGTTGTTGTCCTTCAGTCTTAGTTGTGGAGGGCGCAGCTAGCTCAGCTCCAACTCCAGTCACCATCTGGCTGCCTGTAGGCAGCTTGCAGCTGCTCAGCTAAATCTTAGTTCAATCTTAGTTGCAGGTGGGCATAGCCCACCATCCCATGCGGGAGTTGAACTGGAAACCTTGTTGCTAAGAGCGCATGCTCTAACCACTGAGCCATTTGGCCGCCTGTCAGCAGCTCAGGGCAGCTCGGCTCAAGGTGCCGTGTTCCATCTTAGTTGTGGGTGGGCGTAGCCCCCTATGTGGGAGTCTAACAGGCAACCTTGTTGTTAGGAGCACGTGCTCTCAATAGATGAGCCATCCTGCCAACTATTGGCGGCTCAGTGGCTCAGCTGGGACGCGGTGCCATTGGCCTATATGGGATTCAAACTGGCAACCCTGTTGTTCAGAGCTTTAACCAACTGAGCCACTCGGCTGGCTCCGGGAACAGGTTTTTTTTTTAAACCAAGAACAAATGTGCTTCCTGGAACAGGGGTGAAGGAAAGGTGTGTTTTTCCTCCTGCCACCTGGTCTGGAACAAAATGGGGTGTCAGTAAAATGACCACTATAACCCAGAATGGGTCCTGCATGGTCTGGGGTCCACCTGTCGGGCAAGTTGGGAGACAGATTGATCTAGCCTGGCAGGGACATGTAAAGGAACAGGCTTCTTTCCCTTTCTCCCCACAGTCTCGGGTCTTTCTGGATCTTCCTGGAAAGGAGCCATCAAATGTACCTGCCCACCAATACCCCAGCCACCTGACAAAGGGGGTGGCTGGCAGGCAGTGCCACTTTTAGGAGCTCAGAATAGTCCTCAGTCAGCAGTGTGTTAAGGACCAAATTTAGTATGTGAAAGGCACTTTAGAGAGTCAGGTACATGACGTCAAGGACTGGATCCTCCCAGACTCTGGCCCTGCCCTTGCAGAGCAGCCCACGCTACGTGAGAGTGCATGGTCTATATGACGTAACAGAAAGAGCCCGGCACTCAGAATCACGTCCTGTTCTGCCACTAAGGAGTTGAGCTAAGGTTAACAGGTACTTAACTTTTTGTATCTTGGGTTTCTGAAAAATGAAGGGCTTGGATCAGGTTCGTGGGTGTCCAGTATACACACAGGAAGGGTGAAGTCAAAGAGGAGCTGGGAGCCAGGGTTCTAGGCCTTCCACAAGAGTAGCTCTTCTATGTTCTTACATGTTAATGCTTCGGTATGGATTTCATGTAGAATACAGGATCATTCCATTTATAAAAGTTGGAAAATCCCTAGACTCTATGATCTCTAAGGATTCCTTCTAAAATGCTCTGAGTGGCCTACATTCTGCTTTTGTAAATGTTTTTAGGTTATCTACTTAGAGTGTCTGCAGTCTTCCCAATTAGATTATTAGCAGAAAGGTGGCATGAAAAAATGGGGAGAACACAAGCCTAGGAATTAGGAACTTGGGTTCACATCCCATGTCTATCCACTACTCAAATCCTGGTTGAATTACTTAACTGCTTCGAAATTCCTTTTGTTCATCTGTAATATAAGGAGCTTAAATTCTAAAGTCCCTGCCAACCCTCAAGTCCTGTGATTCTGAGCTTCAGGTTTAGAGATTTGCTCTCTGCCTGCTGTGGCTGATATAGGGCTGTGCACATACAGACCGTTAGACCTTCTTTCTGACCCCCGAGAAAAGCATTATGCACCATGGCCGGATTCCTGACGGCTCAGAGCACAAGCCATGTGAGCAGAGCCCAGAAAGGTGTGGATGGAGTTGGATGCATGTATCTTGCTCTGCTGCTCCTGCCTGGCCTGGCAGGTCCACACCACACAAAACTGTTGGTGGCAGTCCATGAAGGCCTAGTTCCCAAAAAGACATTTTGTAGAGCTCAGCGAGGAAGAGCAAGACCTGGTTTCTGCATCTGTGGGACTGGTCTCTCACACATTAGGATATCTAAAAAATCACACACAAATATAAAACGTGTAAGAGAAGTTACAGGATCTGAGCAGATAGATCAAATGAGCAAGCATGAATGCATGATGTAACCTGCAGGAACAGCATCCTTTGAGTTGTATCTGGAAGAATGCAAGGGACAGAGTTACTTTGATTTAAGTAAAGAACATGTTGGGAAGTCAGGATGCAGTGGCAGTATGGGTGGGAATATGGGCGAGTGTGCACTGTGACTCCCATCTCCTGAGACCATAAAGGTCTGTAAATGTGCAAAGGGTTGGCTGCTGTACACACATCTTGTTTTCTTTACTTTCTCTTCCCCAGATACCACTTGAAAGACGTCATTGTGGGGAAGATATACTTCCTGCTGGTGAGAATCAAAATCAAGCACATGGAGATAGATATCATCAAGCGGGAAACAACGGGCACAGGCCCCAACGTGTACCATGAGAACGACACGATAGCCAAGTATGAGATCATGGATGGCGCGCCCGTGAGAGGTGAGCCTCATGGCCCCCACAGCCCCGAGCCACCGTACCTTTTCTCCCAGGCCCTGCACACAGTTTTGGAGAGGCTTGAGGGATTACACCATTAAAGAAAGATTTCTATTAACCTATAATTTCTTACTCTCTAATTATGCACTGGGGTCTCAATAAGGAGGAAAAGGAGGGTTGAGTCTATGGAACTCCAGACTCCTACCCCACCTTCACCCAGAAGAGCTCCACTTGGACCTTGTTTATATAGTGAGCTCGTGCTGGAGATTGATTCTCAAGAGTAATGCCTGTTCAAAAAAAAAAAAAAGTTTGCAAAATACTGGTTCAGCAGATAGAGTTTGAACATTTTATTACTTTTTCCTGTTGACGTTCTGACATTCTTTGCTGATAGGGGGCAAGAGACTGATCACAGAATAGTCATTTATTTTCCTTAGTTCTAGCTCTGGTAAACGGATGCATTCTCTGCATTCATTCATCAAGTGTAGGTGCTCTGGCCAGCACTACCAGGGCCTGCAGACAGCACTAGGAACTAGATGGAAAGGGTCCTCTCCCCACGCCACACAGAGCTAACATTACGTCTGGGATGGGTAGAGTTGAGAGCTTTATTAATTGGGGAATCTGTGTGATTATTTGGGAGTAGCCATCATTTACCTTCTTCATTGGCTGTGCTGAAACTGATGATGAAGAATGTATTTTTTCACGTGGAAGTGCTTGGTGATGCCAGGGTTTTATTCAGTGTATTTCCACAGTCTGTTCCAAGCAAAAGGAGGGATGTCATAGATTTAGCAGCATGGAACACTGGGGACAGTGACAGCACATCCTTGAGTGTCACCATGCCAGGTCCTTGGGGGGATAGGACCGAACTCTCCTAACTCTGCGTTCCATTTTTTCACCAGCTGTGCAAGAGCCAATTGTCATTTTCCGTGTACAAATGAAACAGCAGATAATTAAAAGATCATTTATATTTAGCTTTAGACTACATTATAGGTTTGGCCTTTCTCAGTAGAATTACTGCCCTAATTTTGTTCCACTTACACTGAAAAGCATGGTGTTGGAGCTGGAGATCTAAAATATTATGTAGTCTGTTTCCATAATTTTCCACGTGAGAAAATTAAGGTCCAGAGAAAGCAACAGACTTACTCAGAAGTCAGGCAACTGGTTAATGAAGAACTGGGACCAGAATGAGGATGTTCCGTTTCCCAGACCACTGTAACATCCTGCCAAATCCATCTTAGAGTTGAGATGTATTTTCGGGGACATGCGCTAATTAGGATGGAGGGAGATGGGTGACATGATGCGTTAGCTGGCATCTGACAATTGGATTTTGAAAACCCAACAACTAGACACATTACATGTGATTAAAGGATGCTTGACAGGACTGTATCCCTGTGCGCTTCATCTCCACCAGCACTCACTGGTCTCTGTGTGGGGACAGTGAGACAAGGCTGTTCAGAAGGCACAACCAGACCTGGAATGGAATTGCAGTCATGTTTTTGCTTCAGCAAGTTATTGGGGAGCAGAATACAACTTCCCCAAAGGCATTTGCTTAAATCCATGCCATACTCAGGTGGCAGCTCCCCGCTCTGGTCAGTGACTTGGTGTAAGGTAGAGGGGTCCCTTTGTCCCTTGCTCTGATCCCCACCTGATTCTTACAGGAGAGTCCATCCCGATCCGGCTCTTCCTGGCCGGCTACGAGCTCACCCCCACCATGCGGGACATCAACAAGAAGTTCTCGGTGCGCTACTACCTCAACCTGGTGCTTATAGACGAGGAGGAACGGCGCTACTTCAAACAGCAGGTAAGTCCTAGGCACCTCCTCCAAACCCCTGGAGGCCCTACTGACAGAACAGGAAGGGCATCATTTCTGCGAGGATCAGGCTCTGTTTCTCGGGTACGTCTCCATGCCACTTGTTGGTTGGTCAAGAGGTGGCAACCATGGATTACCCAGAGTTCCATAGCAGGAAAGAGGGCTCCCACTTGATACCTAGAGTCCGCTTTCTCAGGCCCAGCCCCAGCAACCACTCTGCCCTTGCAACCCACACCATCCAGAGGAGCCCTGGGGATACAGAGGTATGGACAGTGGCTATCTTTGGCGAGAGATAAGCAGAGGAGGACTTTGTCTAAGATTCCTCAGGAGAAAATTAAAGCCTCTGGGAAATCCATCCGCATGCCTTCTGCTCATGGTGTCACATTGCCCCCTCTCCCAAATCTGCAGGAAGTGGTGTTGTGGCGGAAGGGTGACATCGTACGGAAGAGCATGTCCCACCAGGCAGCCATCGCCTCACAGCGCTTTGAGGGCACGACCTCCCTGGGTGAAGTGCGGACCCCCAGCCAGCTGTCTGACAACAACTGCAGGCAGTAGGCCCCAAGGGCCAAGGAGCTGCTGGGCTTCCACCCAGCACCCCGATCTAGCAAACACCAGCGGCTAGGGGAGGTGGACGATGGTGTGATGCTCAGCTGACCCATTACCTGCAACCTGAAAACAAATCATGTTTTTGACTTAAATTCTTTTTTCTGAAGAAATTGAGAGGCTTGGGCTGGGAAGCAGTCTCCTTGGGATTCTGAGGCTGGTGTGGGAATAGCAACAGGTAGCATCCTGGAAGCTAGTGTATCTCTGGGAAAAGAGCCCTCTGTTGAGGCCTTGCACGCGGACTGCGTCACATTGTATAGGAGAGCAGCAGAATGCCAGCATCCTTGGCTCTGACCCTGTGGTTTCCTGATACAGTATCTGACCATATCCCTGGGGATTCTGAGCTGCCAGCAGGACCCCAGGTAGTCACGTCTTGCCCTCCCCTCTATGTTCCTGAGGTAGTGGCAGGAGTTGGGCCTGCCCCATCCTAAGTGGCCAGGGCAGACTCAAGACCAGGAGGCTTACCTCTTAGGGAGTCTTGGATGTGGTGCTTTGAAGTTTCCACACACCACCTCCTTTCTTGCCTTTCTCTCCCTGCTGGGACCCAGGCACTCCATTCTCCATCTTCTTTGGATTTTTGTCAGTAACATCCTAGAAGCCTGTAGAAGTAGAAGGGCCTTTGGCTGATTGTCCCCTCACCTGTGAGAAATCCTTGCAGACACCCGGCAGTCAGTGTCAGACCTGGATAGCAGCGGTGTCAAACACAGGAGGCCGAGCCAGCCCACTAAGGAAGACATATGGTAACTGCATGGTAGCTGTCTGCCTTCACCGGGACCCCACTCATCAGCGCTGAGGGCTGGGTGGTTTTAGGGTATTGTCCTGTGTGCCCCAGTAAGCCTAAACAAAGACATCTGTTTCCTTCCAAGAACAGATCCTGGGACGGGGCCTTGATCGCTTTGCTTCCGTCGTTAAGGGTGGGTCCTCATCACTCCGTGCTCTCCGTTTCGTTTCTGAGAATTGGGGCTGGGTTTCAACCACTTGGAAGTTTTGTTATTACGATCACCCAAGTCCCTTCACTCCCTACCTAAACCTAAGAGTTAAGGGGGGCGACGAGGGGCCTCATTAGAAGACTGCTATACAACTTCAGAATAATTCTGCTTGCCAAATTATGTCTTCATCTTCACCAGTTGACTGACCGACCAGAGTCTAGAACCATTCGTGTTTTTGTTTAAAAACATATACAGAAACTCGTGGATATTCTTGTTACAGTAGAGGAGAGGTTTATCCCTGTTGTGCTGTGCTTGGGCCTATTGTAGTAAAAGTGTTGACATCCTTCTCTGCCTCATCTGGAAATGACCAGGAATTACTCCTATTGGCCTCCCTTCCCTTCTAGGAAGACCAGGCAGACCTCACTGGCCAAGAAGTACAATACTTGGCGGTCTGAGTACTCTGTAATTTGGAAAGCAGAGGGGTTGGTTCCTGTGTCATCTTTCAGTTAGTAAGGACAATGGGTCCTCCTGTTTTCCTCAAAAATCTGTAATTGTGGGCCTTTGAGCAGGGCTCATGGATCAGAAGTGAGACTAGGTGGAAAGGCATTTGGGATAACACTTGAGGTTGACTGGGGGCAGTAGAACCAAGAAAGGTGAGGTGGTTTCCCCCATGCTGGACCCTGAGTTCAGGTGCGACGGACAATCCCCATGGGAACAGGATCACCCATCCAGCTGCCCCTGGATTTTTCAAGGTTGGGACTTACGTGTATGGGGGAGGCAGGTTCTGTGTTCCTTGCCTTTTTCAGAGCATGAGATTAGGCTCTGTTGTGCCTCCCATAATAAATGGTATTCTAACTAGAAAGCATCTGTCAATTCCTCTGCCTCTCAACTGACAAAGCTTTCCAACTTTCCTAACATCTTAAATCTTGCTTCTGGGAGAACGAGAAGATAGAATTTGCTTTTATTCTCTCAGGAGCTGTGCACAAGCCAGGTCTTTTTTCTTACTCTGCCCCCATTCTCTACTTCTCTGTCCAACTGTGGAAGTGAGGGGAGGCTCCTGTCCTCCTCTGTCAAGGTTCCCAAATGTGGGCGTGTATAGGTACTAAACCAAGCAGTGCAACTTGTAATTAAGCAGCTGCAGTGTTTACATGTTTCTTAATGTGTCGTCTTTTCAATGGCTGTATTTTAAAAAAAAGAACACTTGTTTCAATTGTCTCTGATTAAAGGAAGCCCTGTGGCTTGGAGGCATTGTGCCCATGTTCCACCAGGTTCTGTGGTCTCTTGTCTTACACTGTCCCACCTCACATACAAGGGAACACAGACTCACCCTGAGCCAGCACGCCTGCCCTCTGTGTCTGGGCCCTTGGTGAACAATGACCGGTGCTTTATCAACACCTGTTTTAGAGAAGCACATGGCTGAGAAAGGAATTCCAGCCTTACCGCTATGTAGCAACTTGTCCTGAAACTGCTGATGGTCTAAATGCATGTGGGACACATATGACTCCAGGGGCAGGAAAGCAAGACTGGTGTAGAAGGACAAAGGCCTCTTCAGTGGGTGTCAACAGGCTGAGCCCTGCACCTGATACACATGCCACAGGGACGGAAGTGGTTCGAGGTGGCTCTGCATCTTGCCAAAGGGCAAAAGGAGCCAGCCTGGAGGTAAAAGACCTGCAGTGGTGTATTCTCCTACACCCTATGGCGTGAAAGAAAAGCTTCCCAACTTTGATAGCAGTGTTTTATTGAGAAAAGTACACAAAATCCCCCTATGTACACAACCCCAGATGATTATAGCAAGCAAGTATCCGCACACCTCCTCGTGTCTTAATAGAAACTTCACTTCTTTGGAGTAATGTCTTGCCCATCCCAGCGAGTGTCTCAGTTAACTCAGTTCCTTTTCCTCCAGACTCAAAACAAAATCAAACTCCTCTTCCAAAAAAGAAAAGAAAGGACGAATTAGGTCTTGTGTCTCCTCTTGAACAGGGAAGTTATGCTAGGCATTGCTCATGTTACCAAGGCAGGTAGTCATTCATTCAAAAACATTGATGGAGTGTTTTACTACGTGCCATACTGTTGGGTATTGGGTACATAGTAATGGGTAACTCGACATATTTCCTCCCATAAGGATGTTACAGGTGAGCGTTAAATATTGTGCCCAACTTGTATCAGTAAATGTGAATTCCACCATCATTCTGGTGTGTGGGTAACAGGTGTAGGGCCTGCTCTTACCTTGGGTCAGGGGCTGGACTGAGAGTCTCTGCTGAGTGAAGAGCGCCATATTTTTTAAAGGGCCACCAGTGGCTTTGTGAGCTTGGTGATGGGTTTTGAGCTCAGCCAGGGGAATGAAACGCTTCATCATCCGAACAAACTGTACATCCACCTACATGACAACAGTGTATGGCACAGGAAGACATGTCCAGCTGGATTGTATCCACTGTTTTAGCTGCTTGCAGGGGGTTCCTATGGGCAGGGCTGCCGGTGCTCTACCTCCAAAGTCTGGGTAACCTCATGAGTTAAGAGCTGGGCTCTGTACCCTGACCTAAAAACACCCCAGACCTTCCTCCCTCTCTTTTGTCCATCTTTCCCCTCATGAAATAGGAAAAATACTGTAGTAGTCTTTACCATGGACCATTTAGGGTTGTCTTCTTTGCTGGATGGATCATAATAAGGATTGCTTTTTTCAAACTGTGTGTGGTCTGGGTAAGCCTCCTTCACAATCTGAAACCAAAACCAAGTCTCCAGTCATTTGCCTCTATCGTCAGCTCCAACAACTTTCACTTCTGACCCTGCCCACTTCTTACCCCATCTGCCTTGCTGCAGAGCCAATGAGGGCTCACATATCTGGAAGTAATACACAGTCTAAGGCAAACAGGAAACTAACCCTGTTTTGACAAAAAATCTTAAAAGTATGTTCTAAAACCAGATATTAAAGGTTACTGGTGCCACTGTTTTTCTACCTGCAGTTAATAATTTTATCCTGGTCACTCCTGGCTTGGAAGAGGTATACCATCAGGCTTGTTTTTAAGTGAAAGACCAAAGTGTAGAAATGGAGAGAAGTCTGTGCCAGTGGGACCTGAAATGAAGTCTGCCTGGTTATAGTCCTTGTCACACAGGAAGGGGCCAGGGCAGTCTTTCCATATTCCAGTGAGAGCAGGGATGGGAAGAGGGTACTTCTTTTTTACTAATTTAAATTGTATCCCTCTGTGTCTACATGAGTAAGTCTTCCTCAGGGGAGAGGGATTCAGACCAAAGCCTGCACAACTCACCTTCACAAGTCCTGCGATGCCTGGCTCTTTGCAGTTGCTATGGTAGAAGAAGGCTTCTTCCTCTAGCTTCATGGCTCTAAGGAAGTTCCGGGCCTGTCCCAGGGGAGAAGAAATGAGACCTATCCTCCCCACCAGCTGG